TGGTCTCCACATTCTTGTCAACATTTACTATTGTGCACGTTTTTGATTACAGGAAATCCCAGTGGATGTAAAGTCCTATGTTATTGTGGTTTTGATAAATATTTCCCTGATGACTATTGATGCCGAATATCTTTTCATGTGCTTATTGGTCATTTGCATATTTTCTCTGAAGAAATGTCTATTCAAGTTCTTGGCCCATTTTTGAATGGGGTTGTTTTGTTGTTGTTGAGTTGTAGTTCTGGATATTAACTCCTAGTCAGATAAATGCTTTGCAGATATTTTCCCCCATTATGTGGGTTGTCTTTTCACTGTTATATCCTTTGATGCCCAGGTTTGGATTTTGATGTCTAATTTATCTATTTTTTAAAAAATACATTTTATTGATTTTTCACAGAGAGGAAGGGAGAGGGATAGACAGCCAGAAACATCGATGAGAGAAACATCGATCAGCCGCCTCCTGCACACTCCCACTGGGGATGTGCCCGCAACCAAGGTACATGCCCTTGACCGGAATCGAACCTGGGACCCTTGAGTCCGCAGGCTGACGCTCTAGCCGCTGAGCCAAACCGGTCAGGACATAATTAATCTATTTTTTCTTCTGTTGCCTGTGCTTTGCTGTCATGTCCAACAAATCATTGCCAAATCCAGTGGCATGTAGCCATTCTCCTGTTTAAAGAGTTTCAGGTTTTAGCTCTTCCATTGAGGTCTTTGATCCATCCTGAGTTGACTTTTCTATGTGGAGTGAGGTAATTAAGAGTCCAGCTTGGTTCTTTTGCATGTAGGTACCCAGTTTCCCAGCACCATTTATTGAAAACACTGCCCTTTCCCCATTGAGTGACCTTGACTACCTTTGTCAGAGTTCATCTGACCACATACATGAGGGTTCGTTTCCAAGCTCTCTATTCTATCCCATGGGTCCCTACGCTTGTCCTCGGCCAGTACCACACTATTGTGCTGACAGTAATGTTATCATCAGCCTTGAAATTGTGAAGTGTGAGACCTCCAACTTTGTGCTTCCTTCCCAAGATGGTTTTGGCTCTTCAACGTAGAGTGGATTTTTCTATTTTTGCAAAAAATGCTGTTGCGATTCTTTTTTTTTTATTATTGATTTTTTACAGAGAGGAAGGGAGAGAGATAGAGACTTAGAAACATCAATGAGACAGAAACATCGATCAGCTGCCCCCCGCACACCTCCCACTGGGGATGTGCCCACAACCAAGGTACATGCCCTTGACCAGAATCGAACCCGGGACCCTTCAGTCCACAGGCCGACGCTCTATCCACTGCGCCAAACCGGTTACGGCGCTGTTGGGATTCTGATGGGGATTGCGCTGGATCTGTAGAACGCTTAGGATGGCGCTGACACCTTAGCAATTTTACGTTTTCCAACCCAGGTTCATGGGATATTAACAACTTTTAATCACATAAGTGGCTCACACGACTGGCTTAACTATTCCTCCAAACACCATGTTAGTTCACTGGGTCAATAATATCACGTTAGCCCTGATCGGTTTGGCTCAGTGGACAGAGCGTCGGCCTATGGACTCAAGGGTCCCAGGTTCGATTCCGGTCAAGGGCATGTACCTTGGTTGCGGGCACATCCCCAGTAGGGGATGTGCAAGAGGCAGCTAATCGATGCTTCTCTCTCACTGATGTTTCTAGCTCTCTATCCCTCTCCCTTCCTCTCTGTAAAAAAATCAATAAAATATATTTAAAAAAATAATATCACGTTAATTAGACTGGATGAATGAGAATTGGCAAGTGCATTGATAAGACATGTGTGTGTGTCCCCCCAACTTTGGACAATTAATGTTGGGGCAGCAGGAACTGGGCTGAGAGCTGGGCTGTTTGGGATTGGCCTTGGGTGGTGGGGTTAGTGTGACTGGAGGTGGGAATGCAGTAAACTGGGCTGGTGCTAGGGCAGCGGTTCTCAACCTGTGGGTCGCGACCTCTTTGGGGGTCGAACGCCCCTTTCGCAGGGGTCGCCTAAGACCATCGGAAAACACATATATAATGACATATTGTTTTTGTGATGAATCACTATGCTTTCAATGTGTTCAATTTGTAACAATGAAAATACATCCTGCATTACGATTCATAACAGTAGCAAAATTACAGTTAAGAAGTAGCAACGAACATAATGTTAAGGTTGGGGGTCACCACCACATGAGGAACTGTATTAAAGGGTCGCGGCATGAGGAAGGTTGAGAACCGCTGTGCTAGGGGCTGTCACTGAAGTTGTGCTTGTAACTGGGAATTCATGGCTGGGCCTGGGGCTGGGGGGGGGCCGTCTCCTCCCTCCCCGACCCCTGCCCGGGCCATGAGTAGAGCGAGACCACACACCCAGCTCACGCATCTTTATTGGTCCAGATGTGGAGTTTCCAAACCCACACAGGGTGCCTCCGTCCTGCACCAGCCCAGCCACAGAGCCCCGCCCACGACTTCCCGGGGAGACCAGGTCCCACTGGAAGAGATCACAGGTTGGTGGGCGGCAGGGGGTGCCCCGGAGCCCCTAGTGACCGGGGAGAGACCCACGCCTGCTCCCCGCGTCCTCCTTCCCCCGCCCCCTGCACCCTCGCTTCAGACGCTGCCCCTCCTGGAACAGGGAGGCCAGGTCCAGCAGCGCCT